TAGAGAAAGATACTAATACACATCCACCAACGGGGGAGGAGATACAGAATTTTCTAGAGAGGGTCCTTCTACCCAGGTTATCACCATTTCAAATGAAAAATCATTTGAGAAAGAAGAGGTAGTAATAGCAATAAACTCCCTTTCTAAGCATAATTCTCCCGGGCCTGATGGGTTCTCAAATTATTATTATATAAAATTAGAAAAACAATTGACACCAATCCTTACGAAACTTTTTAACTATATAAAAGATGCTGGTGCCATTCCCCAAGAAATGTTGGAAGCACATATTGTGGCTTTACCTAAACCTAATAAATCACCCACACAGAGTGAAAATCTGAGACCGATATCCCTACTTAATATGGATATTAAGCTTTACGCTAAATTAATAGCTTCACGGCTCAAATACCTCTTTCCAGATCTCATCTCAGAGGAGCAAGCAGGGTTTATACCTGGGAGACTGATAGGGGATAATACCAGACATTTTGTGAATCTGGTGGAATGGGTAAACACTTCATCACAACAAGGATTAATTCTAGCATTAGACGCTGAAAAAGCGTTTGATCGCCTGCATTGGGGGTATATTTCACTTACACTTACTAAAATGGGCTTTCCATTAGCTTTTCGAGCCAGCATATTAGCATTATATCAAAATCCGTCCGCAAGAGTGCTTAACACTGGCTTTTTTTCTGATAAAATAAGAATAGGTAATGGTTCTCGTCAAGGCTGTCCCCTTTCCCCTCTTATTTTTATTATATGTATGGAACCTGTAGTAAGAATTATTAAACATGACACTAGTATTAAAGGTTTGATTACACCAGGGGGCATTAAAAAAATAGCGCTGTTTGCGGACGATATTCTGCTCTTTATTAAAGATCAGGAGTCTTCCCTACCATCATTGATCAAATTGCTAATAGAGTATAGGCAGGTATCGTATTATAAAAATAATGTAACTAAAACTCAGGCGCTACCTATTAAATTACAACAAACCCTAATAGATAAATTGAAGTCACAATATAATTTTGACTGTCTCACCTCATTTATAAAATATTTGGGAGTTAAACTCACTAAAGCAGCTAAAACATTAACTAAAGTAAATCATTATCCAATGCTTCAACAAATTAAAAATACAATGGCAAAATGGGAGGGTTTGGAGATTTCATGGCTAGGATGCATAAATCTAATTAAAATGATATTACCTCAGATATTATATATTTTTAGAACATTACCTATAGCACTCTCCAACAAATTACTTAAGCTAAACTAGAAGTTACTAAACTGATGTATTATTAAGGCAACATGGAAATGTTTTAATATGAATGCTTATAATGAAAATTATAAAGGCTGCTATTGTAAGGGGGTTGAAAAAAAGGGTTTTTTTCTTTTCCTTTTCTTTTGATGAATGTGTAAATCAAAATGTGATGTACTGCCTGCTTTCATTCTTTGGCATTAAAAAAAAAATGAAAAAAACATAACAGGTACTCGAAATCATTATACAGAACAACATATTTATTATCAGCGTATAGATACTCAGTATTATTATACAGAGCGACATGTTTATTATCGGGGTATAGATACTCGGTATTATTATACAGAGCGACATGTTTATTATCGGGGTATAGATACTCGGTATTATTATACAGAGCGACATGTTTATTATCAGTGTATAAATACTTAGTATTATTATACAGTGCGACATGTTTGTCAGTTTATTGATACTCAGTATGATTATACAGTGGGACATGTTTATTATCAGTGTATAGATACTCAGTATTATTAAACAGTGACATGTTTATCAGTGTATAGATACTCAGTATTATTATACAGAGCGACATGTTTATTATCCGTGTATAGATACTCAGTATTATTATACAGAGCAACATGTTTATACAGATACGTGAGGCTTTATGGACTAAATCTAGTTTATCAAAGCAAATTCAAGTAAAAAGGAGTATACACAATTTTGCTAGTAAATACACACAAAATACTTGATTTCTTCGCAATCACCGTGACACCTGATGGTCGTATTTCTTATCTATTATGCAAATATTGTCTATTTTTTTTTCTATGTATAGCAAACAATAATTAATGTGACTGATTTCCTTTAACTCCCAGTATGTTTCTTTTAGGTGTATTTGTCAGGAGAGGTAACAAGAACAGAAATACATGCAAAAATCTTTTAATAACAGAAGCACGGAGTCCAACTCTAATAAATCAAGCATTTTCTCAGATACCTCAATGGATACAGTAAACTTAAACCCCAAACCTTTCTCATGTTCGGAATGTGGAAAATGTTTTGTCTCCACTGCAGAGTTTGTCAGTCATCAGAGAACTCACACAGGAGAGAAACCATTCTCATGTTCTGAATGTGAAAAATGTTTTGTTACTGAACCAGAACTTCTCCGTCATCAGAGAACTCATTCAAGACAGAAACCTTTCTCATGTTCTGAATGCGGAAAATGTTTTGGGCGACATTCAGAATGTGTCAATCATCAGAGAACTCACACAGGAGAGAAGCCCTTCTCATGTTCTGAATGTGGAAAATGTTTTGGGCGACAGTCAAATCTTGTTACACATCAGAGAATTCACACAGGAGAGAAACCCTTCTCATGTTCTGAATGTGGAAAATGTTTTGTCACCAATGCAGAGTTTGTCAGTCATCAGAGAACTCACACAGGAGAGAAGCCGTACTCATGTTCTGAATGTGAAAAATGTTTTAGTCAACACGCAAAACTTGTTAGACATCAGAGAACTCACACAGGAGAGAAACCCTTCTCATGTTCTGAATGTGAAAAATGTTTTGTTACTAAAGCAGATCTTCTCCGTCATCAGAGAACTCATTCAGGAGAGAAACCTTTCTCGTGTTCTGAATGTGAAAAATGTTTTTTCACCAACAAGGAGCTTGGCCGTCATCAGAGAACTCACACAGGAGAGAAACCATTCTCATGTTCTGAATGTGAAAAATGTTTTGTTACTAAAGGAGAACTTCTCCGTCATCAGAGAACTCATTCAGGAGAGAAACCTTTCTCATGTTCGGAATGTAGTAAAAGTTTCATCACCAAAGCAGCAATTGTCCGTCATCAGAGAACTCACACAGGAGAGAAGCCATTCTCATGTTCTGAATGTGGGAATACATTTTTCACCTACGCCGAGCTTGTCCGTCATCAGAGAACTCACACAGGAGAGAAACTGTTCTCTTGTTCTGAATGCGGAAAATGTTTTGGATACCGTTCAAATCTTGTTACACATCAGAGAACTCACACAGGAGAGAAACCATTCTCATGTTCTGAATGCAGAAAATGTTTTGGGCGACATCCGGAACTTGTCCGTCATCAGAGAACTCACACAGGAGAGAATCCCTTCTCATGTTCTGAATGTGGAAAATGTTTTGGGCGACAGTCAAATCTAGTTACACATCTTAGAATTCACACAGGAGAGAAACCATTCTCATGTTCTGAATGTGGAAAATGTTTTGGACACCATTCAAATCTTGTTACACATCAGAGAACTCACACAGGAGAGAAACCATTCTCATGTTCTGATTGTGGAAAATGTTTTAGTGCTCACTCACATCTTGTTAAACATCAGAGAACTCACACCGGAGAGAAGCCTTTTTAAAGTAGTAAATGTGGGGAATGTTTTGCCAGTAAATCAGAGCTTTAAATAAACAAAAGCACATAGTGGTAAAACCACTATAAAATGCACAGCATCCTGAGTTGAAGGATAAAAATAATAACTCAACAGCATCAGGCAATGTGCACTAGTACAGGAATACGGTTTCTAAAAGGAAATAGATAAAACATACATAGTGTAATCTATTACAATACAATGTACAATGGGTGTGTATATGGTTTCACTCACAAGTATGGAGCCGTGCCAGGCTCTATGTAAATAGCCTCAGGGTGCCAGTACTGGCTTCGGTAGGTGTCCACAGGCAAGACAGGCAGAAGAAATTTTAAAAATTAATTTATTGGAAAATTAAAAGTTGGGCAAATAAAAAGCAATGTGTTATGCACAAATAAATATACACTACCACATAATTTCCTTGTAATATAGCAATAAAAAATTACACCAAATACAGCATACATGTTTCTACATAAAAGTCTTCACAATTTATGTGGTTTAGATGATTGCTGAATTGATTCACCTGCCTGTCGAATGCATTAGTTCTGGGTTGTGGTCGCTTCCTGTTCCGGCGTTGTTATGACGTCAGTTCCGGCTCTCGTGTAACTGATCTTTCAAATAGGAAGTGCAGCAGTGTCCATATTGGAAATGGGTACATTTGTCCGTACCTGAAGTGATGCAATATCTACTGTGTTCTGTGGACTCAGAAACACTTAGATTAGGTATTCCAGACATGTTAAAAATATATGATAAAATAACCCATAAACCAATGCATCTCACACAGTTGAGGTGATTTTATAATGCATCTATGGATTAACATGGGAATAAAATCTTGTATTGTGAATTATTTTTTTTCATGCTCACACAATAAATAGTAACTTTGATAGTAGCGGTCAATGTACATATGATGCATTGGTATTATGGCACCCTCATGCTATCGTCCTTAGATGCCTAACCTGCACCGCTAACATTGTTCCACTTTGTTGCGGACTCACCGGCAACCCAGGATACATTGTGGTTGTGTGTTCTGGCTGTTACAAAATATACTGACTAGCCTGTTCCACTGGTAACACACTTCAATGAATATGGTTCCTTAGCATGACTTAAATTTGCATGATTCCAACCAAGACCTCAGCAAAGAGACAAGACACATGCTTCTTACTGGCAACTTGTAGGATCACTATTTCTGAGTTCCAGTTTTCATTTAAAAAAAAAAAGCACTGCCCACACATGAAATATATTTACAAATTATTCATACCAATAAGTGTATGAACTGGGATAGGAGACCAGAGTTCTGACTGAGGAATGTAAATTAGGTTAAGCTAATTATCCCCGGGGTCCTTTATTCTTATCCAAGGACACAATAACCTTGGACATTCCAAGAGAGAGGCTAGTTTCCCCAACCCCCATGTTTATACAAACTTCAAGCAAAATTATATTTTCTTCTCATTTTCTAGTTTTTTTTTTTTGTTTGTTTGTTTTTTTTAGGGCATTCAATGCAGCTGAGACTATAACTACTGAATATACCAATTTTGTCAAATATTCCAATCAGCCACTCATAATTTGGAGTTAAATTTCAGCCTTCTGAAAAATATTTAATGAGCTTTAAAATATCTGATATGTCGTAGAATTTTATCCTTGTAATATGATTATTATTATTCTTGTATTAGTTGTGAATAATTTAATTTCAGATTTCTTTCATACACAGGACCTGGGAGGCCCTACCTAGACCTAGACATCTATTATTAATTATAGGACATATGTCCATTGTATATCAATGTTCAACACATATGGTCCTTGTTCAGATAGATTGATAAAGGCCCACTGTTATTATAACCTTTGACCCGCTATTGCAAGCCAGACTCCCATATGTATTAAGAATGTATTCATTTAAGCATTTATAGTAAAATCATTTGTGTAAATTATATTTGTAACGGACCGTTTTGCACACAAGGGGTAAAAACCGTTTAGGCGATGGCCCCCTTTCCAGAGATACAGGCACAGCTACTGCAGAACACTAAACTCCCAAACTGGATACAAAATAGCACTCCAACTCCCGAACTGGAACCTCCCAAATAGCTGCTAGCAGACGAACAAGAAAAGCAGACAATCAGCTTACACTCCTGGCAATCAGTCTCTAACAGCATACAGTGAATCCCCCCAAGAACGAGACAAGGCTCTGTGTTGAGGGTCAAGCAGTGGTCTGTTTAAGGAGGGCTACCTGCCCAGTATTTATGCAGGTCTCCCACCTGGTGGACACTCCCCTAGGGGACCAAATGGGAGACTGTGACAAAAGACAGACAAGTAGACAAATAGGACACACAGTCACAATATATTCCCACAATGCATCCTGGCTTCCTCCCCTCTGCCCTGGGAGATAATTGGGAAGTAATTAAATTATCTCCCAAGACAAAGGCAAAACTCCATTACACATGTGGGGATACAAAACCAGTATTATACTTTAAAATACATAAAGTAACATTTATTACATAAAACACAGACATGTAACATATCCCCAGATAGCTCAGGTCTGAGCGCACATTATTAAGTGAATGGCGCTCAGACCACACGAATTCAGTTTAATCGCCATGGAGCCAAAGTCTTTACAGTCAGTTTCATATGAATGGGCTCCATGGGATTCCTATCTTGGGTATAACACATTCAAACAAATCTACCGAACCCCAGGCAGAAAAGCACGAATGAAGCTTTTCTGCAGGTAAAAAAAAATGTCTTTTAACAGGGGGCCATAGTCCAGAGGCAGCAGGCGAGCAACCAGGCTTCTCCAATGCAATGTGGCGAGATTGGTCTCGTCACAATATTTTACCCCCAAGTGTAGCGGAGAGGCAGTATAATCCACGATATCTCCGCTGGGTAACAGGAACAACAAAGGATAATCCAGGGAATCAGCATACAATAATCCAAACAGCACTGCAGTAACCCTTCTTTCCCAAGAACTAGACGACACATAGGCTGGGAGTCAACTGAGGTCTTTTAATTCAGCTCCACAATTTATACAAGTCCCCATGCAAGGGGTTTCCTGAGTCCCCTCCCAGGGCCATTCCCAGAGGGGACTACATGGGGGACTTACAATACAGGGCATTTATCCCATCAGGCACTGCTGCACAAGAGGGATCCTCCCCCAGGAATATACCGTTAAGTGGATTATCCCTCCGTGCAGCAGAACTCACAATTCACCTTAAATTCAATAACTCTATGAATATCTGGTTCACTTAAACGAATGGACGTTCGGTAGATAGCTGGGGTCTGAGCGCATCATTCGTGAGATTACCGCTCAGATCCCAGCTAAAACAACTGAACTCAGCACGAAAAACACATTAACTAACACATAGCCTTAAAATACTGATTACATATAGTGAAACAAAATACCGAATGTCCCGGACCTCCCGAACGGTCTGGAGGCTCAGCGGTGTTCGCGCCGTCGAGTAGCCGTTTTTAGTACCACGCGCTCGACGACCAAACACCGCTGAGGGAACAAAGGATCCAAGATGGCCGCCCGCCGCATGGTCGGTAGTCGAACGACGGCCACCCAGGAGAGCCTCTAATTACTGATTGCAACATTGTTGCAATCGGTTAATAGGTGCCACAAGCCTCTAAGTGTGTGGGCTATTAAATGATATGTTGTTCGGTTCCCGAACGGCCCGCAAAGGTGGCGTTCGTGAAACGAAAGGAATCAGCTATCTGCGTTCGGCAGATAGCCCAGGCAGGCAATACATTATTAACATTGCATTACATGCTATAACATACAATAGGAACCCCATACCGGCAACCCTTAAAGAGACAGTACAAAATAATGTCCAAGTGGCTAGGTTTGCCACAATGCTCCCCCAGAACCAAGCCGGCATACACAGTCTGATCCCAACGGATCGGCTTGGGGATGATCGGAGGAGTACTCACGAATCATGGCTCCAAGTCTGTTTGTCTAGACAACCCGTCGGCGTTGCCATTTTGCTTCCCAGGGTGGTAGTGGATGGTAAAGTCAAAAGGCTGCAGCACCAAACTCCACTCTATCTCTCTTTCCTCTGGGATAGGATACTCCATACTGCGCATCACATCCTGTAGTCGCTGCTGGAGACTGGCGTCAAAGTGAGATACTGCACAGCCTTCCATCTCTGAAGTAGTGCTGGTTTTCACAAATCTTTATGTAGACAGGGACACTGTATGAACACTAGCGTTGCCTTCAATTTGTAAATCCACGAACTGTGTCTCTGAGCTGCTTTACCTCGCACTAGGACGCCATCCCACCGCTTGCCACCAATGTAACGGAGAGGCAGTATCATCCACGATATCTCCGCTGGGTAACAGGAACAACAAATCCAGGGAATCGGCGTACAATAATCCAAACAGCACTGCAGTAACCCTTCTTTCCCAAGAACTAGACACATAGGCTGGGAGTCAACTGAGGTCTTTTATTTCAGCTCCACAATTTATACAAGTCCCCATGCAAGGGGTTTCCTGAGTCCCCTCCCAGGGGCATTTCCAGAGGGGACTTACAATACAGGGCATTTATCCCATCAGGCACTGCTGCACGAGAGGGATCCTCCCCCAGGAATATACCGTTAAGTGGATTATCCCTCCGTGCAGCAGAACTCACAATTCACCTTAAATTCAATAACTCTATGAATATCTGGTTCACTTTAACGAATGGACGTTCGGTTGATAGCTGGGGTCTGAGCGCATCATTCGTGAGATTACCGCTCAGATCCCAGCTAAAACAACCGAACGCCGCACGAAAAACACATTCACTAATACATAGCCTTAAAATACCGATTACATATAGTGAAACAAAATACCAAATGTCCCGGACCTCCCGAACGGTCTGGAGGCTCAGCGGTGTTCGCGCCGTCGAGAAGCCGTTTTTAGTTCCACGCGCTCGACGACCAAACACCGCTGAGGGAACAAAGGATCCAAGATGGCCGCCCGCCGCATGGTCGGTAGTCGAACGACGGCCACCCAGGAGAGCCTCTAATTACCGATTGCAACATTGTTGCAATTGGTTAATAGGCGCCACACGCCTCTAAGTGTGTGGGCTATTAAATGATATGTTGTTCGGTTCCCGTACGGCCCGCAAAGGTGCCGTTTGTGAAACGAAAGGAATCAGCTATCTGCGATCGGCAGATAGTCCAGGCAGGCAATACATTATTAACATTGCATTACATTACACGATATAACATACAATAGGAACCCTATACCGGCAACCCTTAAAGAGACAGTACAAAATAATGTCCAAGTGGCTAGGTTTGCCACACCAAGTATTACCATTTTTATAAATACACAAAAACAAGTCTTGCGCTCAAACTCCCACTACTCTTTGGTGGCAGCAACAACCAAAGGGAAAAAAGTTAACCATTTTTATAATGCATGGCTTTAATCATAGATTGGACAGAATGGTTATTAAGCCACAAGGTTTTTTACACATTTTAAAGGTTTAAATAACCTTATCTTTATGTGTACGCCTCCTAATTGCATACTTAGACAAATTTTTACATCAAGCCTGTGTTGCCACAACAGCAGTCACACGCATAATATCATTCTACATTTCCTAACATGGCAAGTAGAGGGTCTGCACAATTTTATAATATGGAGCAGAAATGATAGGCATAGTATAGTTTTAAAGTATATGACATAGGCACCTGATTGGTCTATATATGCTTACAGTTCTGGCATGGTAACAATAGAAAGAAAAAGTGATGGCAGCTTAACAGAACTAAAACATTGCAAAATATAACAGTTAAAGTGTTAAGATTATTTTTAACCTGCTAACCTATGTAAATACAATGCACAATTTTACAATAGTATGAAGAATGGTTTTATTAAATCGTTTTCCTGGCACTGCAGGTCCCCTCCCACCACCCATCTCATACTGCTGAAGGGGTGAAAACCCCTTCAGTGACTTACCTGAGACCACCAATATTTACACTTGCAGGGTTAAGGGTAGTGGGAGTTGGCACCCAGACCACTGCAATGGGCAGAAGTGGTCTGGGTGCCTGGAGTGTCCCTTTAAGCTAGATAACTGAAGAAGCTGGCATGAGGTCCTCGTCTACTAAGTGATAAGTGATTTACCAATTATCAACACAACAGTTGTGAGGAGATTGACTTTGCTGATTATAGGCAGAATTAACCTTCAAGTTGCTCCTTCACATCACAAGAGAGATACCTAGTCAACTGCATATCATGAGAAGTATGATATCATAGTGTTGTAAATATACTGCATATAGTGGCCACTAGATTGACATAAATGGTTGCATTAAAACGATGAAAACTAAATTTTAAAAAAGGTCGGCAGCAGTGAGTTAATGACAAGGATGTCACTGGTGGGTGGTCTACTGTCCTACTTTTGTTAAACCTAACTGTAGAAGGCATGCATCTAGCGAAAGTTTGACTTAAGAAGACTTAACTCTACTCCCTATGCCATGACACAGATAACCCGATTCCCTCGATCCCTGCATATTGAAGGCCCAGTCAGACAACTCTGCTGGCCCCAGGTCTCTAAATGGGCCCATGTACGGATCCCACTTCTACGGCTGCTCCTGGCGTCATAAACGACATTGCCCCTGGAGGCAGTGAATTTGGCTTGAGGGCGCTGGTAATTCCTCCAGTGATGTGCGACTTGCACCGGGGGTGTTCCCCTCGTGGCCATCAACTGCCTGGTACCTGGGCAAACACGGTGCACTCAAGACTTCCACTTCTGTCTTCTCAGGCCCGTATGCGCAGTGGTTGTCTTTGGAGCTGAGCCAGACTCAAGATGCCGGTTTGCTGGAGGTGAGTAGTGTGAGTGAGTGCTCTGTTTCTTCTCCCCACCATTGCCCAGTCAATTGTTAAGCTTCGTCCTGAAATTCAAAAATATTGCATCCAGTCGCCTTGTAGTTATCTCTAGCGGGCTTTAAAGGGTGGGTGTCTGTGGTGCGTCTGCCATCTTAATTAGGCAGCATGGCAGGCCTCTTTCCTAGGTATGGCTGCCGAGTTGCAATTCCGCCAGTGGCTCAAGACTACAGGCGTGAACTGGGTGCTGGGATATCCCTTACCGGCAAAGGGGGGACCGGAGCTTTAATCACCACCACTGGTTCCAGCAGAGATGCCAGCCGCCACTCCTGTGCTCGTTCTCTCTGGTAGGCCGCAAGAATCCCGTCGAGCTCAGGCTAGAGTTCTTGCCTCCGGGGGCTTCTAGCTTAGCAAGATGTCATCATCAGTGTAAGCAATGCTGTTTACTACAGTATAGTCGGTAGAATAGGACAATTCTGAGTACTCTCACGGAGCTCGTCTGAACTGCGACCTATCAGTATGGCGGTCAGGCCCCGCCTCCTCCCCCCCCCTGCAGATAGATATTCACCACCAATACTTAACATCAAAAATGGTTATTAACTTAAAGTGCATACATATTGCTGTATTGGTCCTGATGCAAAAATTTTGTAATTTTTGGATGTCGTGTATGTTTGAATAAATATACATTTTAAGGCTGCAAGACAATCTGATTCAATTATTGTAACTCTTATGTGACTGTAGCGGAGAGCTGGTATTACACAGCCTATCTCCACTTTAGATCCCAGTGAGGCTCAGGAACAAGCAATTATAAATCCATAGGGCAAAGTATCCAGCAGGCAAAATAATACAGCAGTATCCCAACAGCACTCCCAATAACTGGACGACACACAGTATCAGGAGCAGAACTAAAGACTTATTCATACAGTGGCCTTATAAAGCATGCTCCCATGCAAGGGAGGGATTTCCATTCCCAATCCTGTTCTGGTAACCTCCAACACATCTCCTCCCCTCAGCCTGCATCATAATCCCCTTATCCAGGACACCAATTCCCCCCGTTTCTGGATGTACCCCTAAACCTAGGGGTACCGCTTTAAATTATACATCCCCTGGTAGCCCTGATCTGGGTAAACAACATATCCAAAAATCACCCAGATCAGACCAGGGGTTCAGGAAATTTATGGAGGGAATAAAATGACTGACCGCGCTGGAAAGAATAGCCGAATTGGGTTCCATGCGATGGGGCCCTGCGGTCGGTCCTGGAACAAGGGAATAAATTACACGAAAGCCTCCAGTTACAGAGACTAGGGAGGGTTCGCCTGAATCCCCTCGTTTGGTTGTTTCTGTCTACCGAACGAGGGGCCGTTCGGTAGTTTGGAACCGAACGGACCGTGCTTGTGGAGGTCTCAGCAGTGTTCGCCTAGTCGAGTGTCCGATTTGAGTTCCAGACACTCGACGGCAAAACACCGCTGTTTGGGAGTTTTAAAATGGCCGCCGTCACGTGTTCGTTTCCCGAATGGCGGCCACCCAAAGGACTACTGCTCAGCTTGTCAATTACCCATTCGCAACAATGTTGCAACGGGTAATTGAAGGCACACTTCACACCGGGGAGGTCTGACTGTTCGGTAGTTTCATTCCCTTATTTGTTAGAATGATTCTACCGAACAATCAGACGAATACAATACATTTATACACGTATAACCTGCCATTTAGACGAATGCAGTTAAAACCTATGCAATTCTCAGGACAGCCCAGTGTCATCCGCTACAGTGACAAACCAACATCTCAGGATCAGCTAATTTCCTACATTTAATGGGGGAGAAAGCATGGGCAGATTTAAGTCTGAATTAGTACTGGCTGAATATCTAAAAAGATTTTGCTGCAAGAAGATTACAAGAAAATAACTTGAAAATTTTGAACTGTTCCCTGCAACGAGTGGTAGTACCCTGCTTGATGCAGGAGGAACATGTGTTGACTGAAGCCATGAAAGTCAGCAGGGGAGGACTTGGGGAGGCACTTGCCTCCCTCTGGATTTTTCAACTTTCCCCCTCCCCACAAGTACTTTTCCCTCTGACTGTGAGAGCTCAGTCTGAGGAAAGAAGGGGGGAGGTGCTCGGGACTGGAGGGAGGTGCAGGAGGCCGCATTAAGGCTGCCAGGGGACCACAGAGAGCGCTATGAAGCTCCCTCCTGAATCCCCAGCAGTTTGGTGCCTTTATGCTCTGCCCCCACATTCAGGCCCCACCTCACATACACAAGCTCAGCCCTGGCCCTGCACACAGTGCTGACTTCACCTCCCAGTGCTCCCTGTCTCTCACTGCCTGTGACAGGTAGACTTCAGCCCATTACAGTGATGTTTTGTGTGCGCCTGCTAGTGAGTGAGCTTGTTTGTGTGAGTGTCAATTAGCTTGTCTGTAGTGAGTATGTATTGTTAAAAGGTCTAATAATTTCTCTAGTGAAATTGAAACATGAAATGAACTTGACGACCAAACACCACTACCTGCGTTCATGCGAACAAGATGGCTGCCACCTCGTGGTCGTCCCTAGGAATTGCGACCACCCAGACGCACACTTAGAACACTGAGGTGAAAATTGTTACAAAGTAGCAATTAGGGTTAACAAGCTCCAGGGTGGTCTCCGGTTCATGCAGCTGTTCGGTTCCTGAACCATGTAGTCCAAATACAAGAACAGAGAATTTTATATCACATTTTACAAGCAGACACCTTTAGGAACTCGTGGCAAACTCACTTGGAAAGGGGAGTTTGTCACAGTCTATAAAAAGAGAAAATCATGAAAATATGTGGGATGATTGTTTATTGAAATTGTTAACAGATTTAGGGGTATTGAGCAAAGCAATTTGTTTAAAAATTGCTTCCTTTAAACTAATTCTATGCATGAATGGTGTCAACTTAAAAAGGCAAGCAATTGTTATGTTTGTAGTACATTGAAACAAAAATGAGATGTGTTGAAAACAAATGAAACATGTGTTGTTACAAGGTCTAATTAATTTCCCTAGCCCCCCTAGCAAAACTCCTCAAAACCTGTTAACAAAAGGGAAATTGGCTCTCTTTTGATAGTGCATTGGATGCACTGTATCCCATCAGGTCCAGTGGGGGATGTCCCTGGACCTGAGGTTTTTGTGTAAATACCGATGCCCAGGTGCCATTAAAACCAGTTCTTGCTTGACCTTCAAATCGCAGCCTTGACTCGTTTTGTGGGGGAAAAGGGTATCCTAGCTATACTAGAGCTAATGGGATTGCTCTACACTTACAGGATTCGTATGGACTAACTCTCTCTCTACACTGTGGATCCAGGCTATCCAAGTGGTCCAGCTTCCAGCTAGCCTGGGGGTAACCGTAACAATTGGTGGCAGCGGTGGGATATTCCTGGAGTTCCTAGGGGAAAGACGGAGCGACAAATTGAAGCACACCACATTGAAGGACCTACTAGAAAGCTGAGGTGGGAACGCTAGCAACCGACCTAGGAGGGAGCTGATCGCAGAGCTGACCAAATTAGATCAAAGCCTGACCATGACGGAGGCTCCGATGTCCGATAGCGAGGAAAAGAACCAGATTGCCCGGGAGAGACTCTCCTGGTTTGGCCCGAACCCGACCGTGGAACTAATACAGCAAACTATGGCACAAGTGGATGTGGAGATTCGGGAGGCTAGAGAGCACGAGATCAACCTAAACGCACCCCAGCAAAACCCCGCTACAAGGATGGCGGTGGACCCGGCAGAAAGGGCTGGGAAGCCCAAAATTCCCCATGTTGCGTTCCGATCATTCTTAGAAAATTAAATGGGGATAGACGAATATCTGGCCGACTTTGAGAGACAATGTGCGCTGCATCGGATTCCTAGCGAAGATTGGCCCACTATACTGTCAGGGAAACTCTCGGGTCGAGCTCTAGATGCATTCAGGACACTGTTTGCCGAGGAGGTGACACAATATGACTGGGTTAAAAACACTTTATTACAACGGTATGCATATCGGCGACAATTTAGGAATACGAAAAAGAAGCCGAACGATACGCATACCGAATGGGCCCATCGGATGAGAAGAGCAACCAAACACTGGATGAAAGGGTGCGGAGCTGTAACGGGTGAGGAGGTATTACAATTATTTCTCTTAGAACATTTTTAAAATGGGGTGGATCAACAGTGTAAAGAATGGCTCCGTGATCGTAGGCCCACTACCCTCACAGAAGCCGCCACATTAGCCGACGAACATTGTGATTCCCGGCTGCACGAAAGCAACAACCACCGACCAATCATTCGTGCAGAACACCGAGAGAACTACCGAACGGCCCGACCGGATTTCATGGCTCCCGTCCCTGCAGGACCTACTAGGCAGCTTGGATCACCGAATGGTCCTACTACCAATCGCCCACAGCCAACCTGTTTTCGGTGCAAACAATCAGGGCATCTCATAGCGAGCTGCCCCCTCAACAGTCACCACCAAAATCCCCGCAATTACAATAATCCCGTGGGACTATCCCGGTCCGCCAGAGCACTATGTGTTAACCAGGAGGGGTCCATGGAGCCCCTCCATTAAGCTGACCCTGTGTACGCTGCCGCTGCCTCTGACAACCGCCAACATCACAGGCAAAAAGTATGGCTCGAGGGTCACTCCACGGAGGGTTTGAGAGACACTGGGGCTACAATAACCCTTGAACACGAATCCAAATCTGACCCGACCCTACAAAAGTATAGAGAAAAAGACGAGTCTGGGGAAGGGGGACTAGATAACGAGACTTTTAGATGGGAGAAAGGGAAATTGTATTGGTTAACTGAAAAGAAGGGACAACATAGGCGACAATTGGTAGTCCCGTACAAATACAGACGAGAGATACTCAGGATAGGACACGATATCCCATTAGCAAGGCACCTGGCGGTAACTTGCACGCTTCGCCATATTACCCATACCTTCTTCGATGTGTGTCAGCGCGTGGGGAGGAGAGGAGACCATCCTAAGGCACACTTAATGAATATGCCCATAATAGAGGAGCCATTCAGCAGGGTTGCCATCGACTTAGTAGGGCCACTGGCTACTCCTAGTCCCTGCGGCAACGGTATATTCTGACCGTAGTAGATCACGCTACCCGGTACCCTGAAACAGTGGCCCTATCTAACATTCAGGCAGACACTGTAGCCAATGCGCTGGTACAGATCTTCTCTCGGGTGGGATTTCCCAAGGAAATACTATCTGACAGAGGCAGTTTACTGCTGAATTAACACAGCAGCTCTGGCAGGTGTGTACGGTTAAGTCACTCCTCAGCACCCCCTATCATCCTCAGACGAATGGGCTCTGTGAAAGGTTCAATGGGACCCTTAAACAGATGCTAAATACCTTTGCTCAGGAATATAAGGACTGGGAATGCTTCCTCCCGCACCTCCTGTTTGCTTACCACGAGGTGCCCCAGGAAACAACCGGATTCTCGCCTTTCGAGCTGCTCTACGGGCGTCAGGTA